GGCGGGGGCCGCGGCGGACGGGGCAGCGGGGCTGAGAGAGTGCGGGTAGCTCTGCGGCGCGGCGGCGGCACGGCAGGGTCGGGCGGAGCCGAGCCCGGGGAGGACACGGCCCTGCTCCGTTTGCTGGGGCTCCGCCGGGGCCTGCGCCGGCTCCGCCGCCTGTGGGCTGGCCCGCGCGTTCAGCGGGGCCGAGGCAGGGGCCGGGGCCGAGGTTGGGGCCTGAGCCGGGGCTGGGTGCCGGAGGAAGAGAGCAGTGACGGGGAGTCCGACGATGAGGTGAGGCAGTCGGAGGTGTCCCCAGCGCGGGGCGGGGCGGAGGCCAGGGGCTTCCAGGGGTCTGGGTGGCCCCGAGGGCTGTTGTGGGGAAGTGGGGTACTCAGGGCCCCATGCAGAGAGAAGGGGTCCTGGAAATAGGAATAGGAGGGGGTGGGCTGCACGGAGCTTTTCGGTGGAAGGGGCCTCTGAAAGTGATAGACAAGCCCTGGCTGCAGCCGGTCACTTGGGCGGAGGCAGGTCCTGCTGAAGGGTCCTGGGCTGATCCTTCTTAATAGTCGGTAAAGCTAGAGCAATAAAGGTTTGAGTGAGGAGGCAGCGGGGATTGCATGCCTAACCACTGGTGGTTGACAGCAGCAGCGTGGACCAAGACCAGGGCTATCTGGGCTCTAACCTGTAGGCTGCCAGCCCGGCCTCATAACCTCTGACATATCCCTGGTTTCACCAGTGCCCTAATTCCCCTTCTGACCTAGGTGGAGAGAAAGTAAACTAGTGGAGGGCTGCCTCCTGGGGCGTGGGTTAAAGGGGCACTAACAACCATGGACTGGAATGATGGCTGAGATGGACACTCTGGTTCAGCTGAGGACTTAATCCCTAACCTCTCAGATAAAGCAGGATGGTGTGGGTTGTATTACTTAAGACCAACTTTTTGTAACCACCTGAAGGGCTCTGATGCATCCTAATACAGTAAATCATTTGGTGCCCTCCGACCCCACCTCTTTTGGGACACTCTTTCCATCTTCATTCAGGTAGAAACTGTGTCCTGAGAAAGCATGCACAGGGGTCCCACTTTTCTCTGAGTTAGAGTATGAGTATAGTGCCTACTGCCTGACCTGAGGAGACTCTGTTCTGTTTCCCATTCTGGGCCAGTGAGCCACTGACAGCTGTGCTGGTGTGGTCTGCCACTGGGAATGGGAATTCAAAATACCCTGTCCCTCTACTTCCTCAACCTTTCAGTCTTTTAATGCCTTTGTAAATAGGCAAGGGTTTGTTAAGGGGGAAGCTGGGGATATTCCTTGATATTTGAGTCCCAGGTGGAATGAAGGCTTTGGCACTGACTGCTGTTTCTCCCCTGCACCCTTGGTCCCCTAAATCAGGAGTTTCAGGGTTTTCATTCAGATGAAGATGTGGCCCCCAGTTCCCTGCGCTCTGCGCTCCGATCCCAGCGAGGTGAGTGATGGGGAAACTCTACCTCTATAGCTTTTCAGGATGTTATCCTTGTTCTTTGTGTCAGCGCTTCCCTGTTAAACTAGAGTCTCCATCAGTCACCAAGTATGTTCTGTGTTCAAAGCTCAAGCTAGCTTGGGCTGTGGGGGAAACAAGTAAGACTTAGCCCCTGTCCTCCTGAAGTACCAGGAGAGCCAGCTTGACCCATCTCCCCACACCTATTCTCCTTTTAGGTCGAGCCCCCCGAGGCCGGGGCCGCAAGCGTAAGACGACCCCCCATCTGCCTCCTCGCCTAGCAGATGTGGCTCCCACCCCCCCAAAGACCCCTGCTCGAAAACGGGGTGAGGAGGGCACAGAACGGATGGTGCAGGCACTGACTGAACTTCTCCGGCGGGCCCAAGCACCTGCAGTCCCCCGGAGCCGGGCATGTGAGCCCTCTACTCCCCGTCGATCTCGGGGACGGCCCCCAGGAAGGCCAGCGGGCCCCTGCAGGAAGAAGCCACCAGCAGTAGTGGTGGCAGAAGCAGCTGTGACAATCCCTAAAGCTGAGCCCCCACCTCTTGTGGTTCCAGTAAAATACCGAACTGGCAGCTGGAAGTGCAAGGAGGGGCCAGGCCCAGGTCCTGGGACCCCTAAACGTGGAGGACAGTCTGGGCGAGGAGGCCGTGGAGGCCGGGGTCGAGGCCGAGGTGGGCTCCCACTTGTGATCAAGTTTGTTTCAAAAGCCAAAAAAGTGAAGATGGGACAATTATCCTTGACATCTGAATCAGGTCAGAATCAAGATCAACATGGAGCAAACTGCCAGGATTCCCCTCAAGGAAGAGTTGGATCTGGTCAAGAAGGAGACCCCTGCTGGAAAAAGCAGGAGCAGAAGCTGGAGGAAGAAGATGAAAAGGACAAGGAGGGAGAAGAGAAGAAAGACAGAGGTGTAACTGAGGAAGAGGTGGCCCTAGCCAAGGAAAAGGAAGAGGCAAAGCTGCTGTCACCACCCCTGACTCCTCCAGCTCCTCCACCCCTCCCACCCACCTCAACATCTCCTCCCCCCCCACTTTGCTCTCCACCATCCCCATTGTCACCCCCACCCCTACCACCCCCTCTTCCATCTCCTGCCATAGAGGAGCAGGAAGAATCTCCTCCTCCCGTAGTCCCAGCTACCTGCTCCAGGAAGAGGGGCCGGCCTCCGCTGACTCCCAGTCAGCGGGCAGAGCGGGAAGCTGCTCGGGCAGGGCCAGAGGGAATCTCCCTTCCCACTCCAACCCCTAGCACCACCACAGGAGGCCCTCCAGAAGACAGTCCCACCGTGGCCCCCAAAAGTACCACCTTCCTGAAGAATATCCGGCAGTTTATCATGCCTGTGGTGAGTGCCCGCTCCTCCCGTGTCATCAAGACACCCCGGCGATTTATGGATGAAGACCCCCCCAGACCCCTAAAGGTGGAGGTCTCACCTATTCTGCGGCCTCCCATTGCCATCACCCCACTGGTCCCTCCGGAACCAGCACCAGCCCCTTCTCCACCACGTGCCCCAACTCCCCCGTCTACCCCAGTCCCACTCCCTGAGAAGAGACGGTCAATCCTAAGGGAACCCACATTTCGCTGGACCTCACTGACCCGGGAGCTGCCGCCACCTCCCCCTGCCCCTCCTCCAGCCC